TATATATATAAATATTTAAACCAGATTTAGAATAAAAAATAAATACAATTAAAACAGTAACAGTACTTATAGAGTCAAGAAATAAACAACAAAATAAAGAGTATATGTATATATCCCATAAACAAATAGTTATGATGATAAATAATAAATAAATAGACAGAGACAGAGTGATTATAACGAATAATAGTAAAAAGTACATATACAGGCATGCTTTGTGTGTAAAAGGATAATGTTATTAAAGTTTCAAGAACCAAAATTGAACTGTCGAAGAGCTTATCTGGGATACATTCTGAACAACATTGTATTGTGACAAATATTCAGTGTCAGCATTTACTGAACTTACTGTAACACATCTTAGTTTGGGGCAGCGACGTGCAGTCAGGGGAGGCAGAGCCTCACCTGTCATACTCCAATGTAACAGAAAAACAACTAAAGAAAAACTAAATAGTAATAATAATAAAATGTCTCCACTGATCTGTGTTGTAAGTGTGATTTCTGTTTGATTCCAATCGCTTTTTATAGTCAAAATCAGCAAATTGGCCGAGCTCGCTACAACTACATGGGAGCGATGAGAAGTGAGGCAGGGGCGTGCTCTGCCTCTCGTAAGCCCACAGTAACTTGCTGGAGCGCGGGCACTAATTTAGCGCGGGCACTTATTTTGTGAGCGCGCTCAAGCCAGTTACCGTGGGGTGAGGTGAGGCACAGATGAGCTCTGCCTCACCTCAGAATGCGTCACCCCACAGAAACTGGCTGGAAAGCGAACCCTAAGCGCATGCCTGTTCCCATCTCACTGTAGGTCACCAATGTAATGTTTGTAGATCCCTTTATTACATTTATCCTCGCCATCCATAGTCTCTAAATAACTTATTTCACGTATATATGATATTTAGGCTCGCTGGTCTCATCGTACAACGGCAATGAAAAAAGCCACATTTCTAATGAAAATGGGATCTTACTAAGAAAGAACGATCCAATATTTAGATTGTGGGTATCCTTTTGTTGAACGGTCTGTTTAAAATGAATCGAAGCATCAGACTAAAAAAAGCTTTTGAAAATAACCGAATATTTCGATTAAGGTCAAAATATAATATTTGTAAATCTGACTCTGAAAGAGTCAGTGCCTCACCAGCCATGAACCTCACCACACGTCACTGGTTTGGGGGGAACTAGTGCAACCTGGTCTCACCAGAATGCGTGACTCCACCACGACTCCTTAACACCGCATTGCGTGGTGGAGTCACGAACTTTGTTACATTTACGTGTCTGCACCACGCAAACAACGCCAATGTAAAGTGAATGAGGCTCCTTTGTCGTGGTGCACACACGCATTTCTACAACGTCCAGCAGTGAGCTTTTATTCTATAAAACGTTTTTAAAATCTACTTTATAGCTTGTAGTAACTCACAGGAGGCTTCTTTTATTTTATTTGTATTCATAATAATTTGTATTTTTCGTCAGAATGTATTATGGTGCATTATTCACCAATGTTTGTTCTCAAAAAACAATGTATTGTAAGTAATACAACTGTGATTTTTATTAAATTAGTTAGTTTTTAAGGAAGGCCAGAGCTTCAGCTGTGTCAAAGAGATTGTTCCCTTTAGTTAACGTTATTTAAAAGATAATTATATTCCTATTTGATTAAGTCCCCTTTATTGTATTACGGACCCAAAGAGCTGAGCGTCCATTCCCATTGGATAACGGAGGATTTTACACCCGGAAGTAAGTATTCTCCTTACTGTCCATTGATTTTATTTACAGTGATATCTGCACTACTCATCAACTCAAAAACACCAGATTATCCTTGTTAATTACACAACATTGATTGGTTTAAATTGTGTACAATGCTTTTGTATTTTCCCCTTTCGATTCGGAGAAACAAATATTTGTTCGTAGTGTGTGGATGGCAGAAGGCACTACACTACCCAGAATCCTCAGCTGGTCTCATCGTACAACGGCTATGAAAAAAGCACCAGGAGAGGCAGCCATAACCTCTGCCGCACTGAAGGGGGTTTAAAATGAATCATAGCATCAGACTAAAAAAGCTTTTGAAAATAATAGAATATTTCGATCAAAATATAATATTTGTAAATCTGACTCTGAAAGAGTCAGTGCCTCACCAGCCATGAACCTCACCGCACGTCACTGGTTTGGGGGGAACTAGTGGGATAGCTGGGGATGCTTTTTGTTCCTGACAAGGGTCTCAAAGTCTGGGGTGATGGTAGACAAAGCAACTCTGAGGTCATGCTCAATGTTCAATTTGTTCCTCTCCTTTGTCTTCAGCTGGACCAGAGCTGAGAAGCCACTTTCACAGAGATAGGTAGTGCTGAATGGCAGGATGATTTTGATTGCATGTGTGGCGAGGGATGCATACTCAGTAATCACAGCACTGTACCAGAACTGGGGGAGGGTTACCTCAGTGAACATTTTTTTCAGCGACCGATCACATGACAGCTCCACCAGCTGACTTTCTTCGTTTCTCGGCAACGTGACGCTTTCCATCTCGACTCCGAAAGGATCCCGTACCCAGTCATCATCCCCGTGTTTCTCAGGGAAGTAATCGTTGAACCGATCCTGCAGTTTGCTTAGATGCGCCCTGATAGTTTCATTCAGGGCATTTTTGCCTGCAGTGTCCAGTTCTTTTGCCTCATGACGCATTTGGAAACATGTCCAGCCTCTCCCTGGAAACATGATTTGCCCACAAGGCGATCTTTTTTTTGAACGCCTCGATTTTTGAAGCCAGCGAACTTCTGCATGATACATCACCTGTATGTGCTCATTGCCCAGGTCTTGGCACAGCTTTTGAAAGCACCGGGTGCTCTTTGCGCTGCGTTTAATGTGGTTCACCGCTTTGACGACATCCTTCAATGTTTCATGAAGCACTGGCACCATGTCCTTTGCTGCTAAAGCCTCTCAATGCAAAAAACAGTGTTGCCAAGTCGCATTAGGGGCTTTTTCTAGTATTCTCTTCACCACCCCTGAATGTTTTCCAGTCATGGAGGCAGCGCCATCAGTTGTGATTCCGACACACAGATCCCAGTTTAGGCCCACCGAACCCAAGTACAAGTCCACAGAACTAAAAATGTCCTCCGCAGTTGTAGTAGTTTGCAGATCTCTAGTGCAGAGAAATTGCTCCTGTAAGTCCCCTTCCCACACATGCCTCCCATAAACAAGTAAAATTGCATGGCTCGCGATGTCTGTGGACTCGTCCATCTGTAATGCATAGTGAGCACTTGCCTTGATGCGAGCTGTGGTCTGTTGTTGAATGTCATCGGACATTTCTTCAATCCGCCTACTGATTGTATCGTTTGACAGTGGTATGGTCTTCAGTTTATCCGCCGCAGATTGATCCAGCAGCTCTCTGACCATTTAGATGGCGGCAGGTAAAATAAGGTCCTCTGCAATGGTGTGGGGCTTTTGCTCTTTGCAATACGCTGAGCTACGAGGTAAGATGCACGGAGGGCCTGCTCTTGTTTTGAACATGAAGAGGTCAGGCACTGTTGCGATGTCCTCAGCTCTGTGAGTCTTTGAAAGAACTCAACAGGTTTATCTTTATAAGCGGAGTGTTTCGTTTCCAAATGCCGCTTCATTTTGACGGCTTCATGCTCTCTCGTGCCAGTATCTCACTGCAAACAACACACTGAGGTTTTGGTCCCTCTCTTTTATCTTCAATGTATGAAAATCCATACTTAACCTGTTAAGCCTGAGAGACCCCGGTACCGGGGCACTGCCGCAACATCTTGCAGGAAACAGTGTCTGAGGGCATGTTCATTTAATAAACTATGAATGTTTTATATCCATGTAACGGGAAGAAACTCATCTAACTGATCATTTTTTTTTTTTTTTCAAAAGAAAACCCACAATGCTAACACTGAGCCTCTGAATTAGCAACGAGCGAAAAATGCTAACACCTTACTGCACCGAAAATCACTCACAAAACCTTATTATTTATCTTTTCACCACATCCAACACATCGTTTCACATCGTGAGGTGACACAGAATCGATTGACACCGACATTACCACTGAATTATACGTATTTGCGACGTTATAAGCAAAAACGGACATCAAAACAGGTGACGCTAGGTAGCTAAAAATGCTAATATTTTTACCTTGGCACTGTAGTCTCTCCAAAGTGGTCTTCAATGGCATTAAAACGATAAAAACGCTGCTGAAGTTAATCCATAGGTTAATCTAATGTGTCTGTGTCCCTTTGAAATGATTTCTGATAATCCATAAGCATTAAAACTGCTTTTCCGTTTCCAGATGTCAAAGCTAGAGATAGGTTCACTCTGATGGAAAATTACATGCGCGAAGCCCCCACCTTTTCTCTTCACAACGTGTGTGTGTGGGGGACTCCCCCTTCGATTCTATTGGCTCTAACGGTCAGAAAGAGGTGTCAACCATCCAAATTGAGCAAGGGGGGCCAGAGATATGGAAAATCCACCCAAATGACCCCAGAAGTGGTTTCTTTTGGCTAAACCTCTCTAAAAAGGTCAAATGTCACTTGTTTTGCATCAATCTTGATACAGGGTACTTATTATATGTTGTACTTTGGATTCCTAAAGCTTTTAGTCTACTAACCCATCATCCAAGGGTGGTTTTCACTATAAGTAAAAAATAATCTTTGGACGGACACTATAATTTACAGTTTTTTACTATGTAAAATCTGAATTTTCTTTAAAATAAAAAACATCTATATTGATTCTGACTTTTCTACATCCAACTCACAGGTTTATCATTACTTTGAGAAAAAAGATTATTAATTTAACCCTTTTAGAAGGGAAGATATGGTCATTTGTTCTGGGAATGTCATTTTCGAGCCTGAGACCTGAAAAACAGGCTCAGGGCTTAAGAGGTTAATATATTCAGAATCATACCTGCGTTTCGCCATGTTTACAATTTGAATGAATGAGCGGTAAATACTGATAACGTAACGCAGCACGTTATCATGACATAACAAAAATTATGGAAAAAAGTCAAACCTTTTTTGAAGGCCGGGATCATGACAACGCCCAAGACGCTTCCTACCCAGGACGCAGCAAACGGTGACTGCGTGCGCAGCATTAGAAATCCCAGACTTCAAAAAAAGTTTGACTTTTTTCCATAATTTTTGTTTTTTTTCAATTTTTTCTTCGCTCACACATCCGCGACCCACTTGAAACGGGTCCGCGACCCACTTGAAACGGGTCCGCGACCCACTTGAAACGGGTCCGCGACCCACCAGTTGAGAACCACTAATCTAGATAGTTTGAATTGGCACCCGGTGGCCTATAACAGCATCCAATTCATATGGGTTTTAAATTTGGCAATTGTATTTGTAACCATAAAGCTTCTATTTCATTTTTCATTAGGTCGTATCGTACTTTAGCTGGAATATGATTTTGTACATAGATCAAAACTCCGCCACCATTCTTATCTCTATCCTTTCTGAACAGATTGTAACCATGCATTGCAACCTCTGAATCATCAAAAGATGAGTCCAGGTGTGATTCTGAGATAGCCAGTATGTGTATATTATTACCTTGGTTGCTGATTGGCTAATGGTTACACAAGACAAAACATCATTATGACATCATCAAGTGGCCAAAATCTGATCAGCTCATTTTCAGACAGGTTTTTATATAAATGGATCAGGGGGGGGGACTCAGGTTTATGTATAAAAGACATGAAAAAGTGGATTTTGCATAATAGGTCCCCTTTGGCTCACTATCAAATTACTATTTTTTATGGAAGGTTTATTATAGTACTGGTAACCAACACAGGTTTTGTCATGTGTTTTCTTCTCCAGATGAAGCTGTCAGTGTTGCTGCTGCTGGCCCTGCCCGCTCTCTCCTCAGCTTTCAGTCCTCTGGACACCCGGAATAACACAGAGCAGAGAAATGGTAAACACAAACTGGCTTTATTCCTTTGGGGAATAGTAGAAGAAAAAGGGTGGTATTTTCGAAATTAGCAACACAGAACATGATGGAAAAATCTGTAGTTTGTACGTATTGCAGTTCTGCACTTGGTTGTTAAAGGATCATTTTACCAAAGTCACAAACTGACTGTGTTTTCCCTCTTAACAGTTTTTTTTAGTGACGTAGAAACGTAAGCTTTGGTTTTAGACAGTTTCTTTGAGACTTTTGCCACCACCCCCAATTAGGGCTGGTTATGGTTACTACAATAAGTGCATTTAGATACTTTGCACTGTCTGCTCTTATGGTGTTGTTTTATGCTTTATGAACGTGGACAACAGTGAAAAATATATATCCTTCATGACCAAGGTTGGAATTGAAATAAAAAAGTGAAGTGAAACTTATGCTTGTCACCCTCTGGTCCACACGTATTAATCGTCATGATCCCAAAACGTATGATTGTATGAAAAGATTTTTAAATAAATACAAATGTATTTATTATAAACTTGTTAGGCCTTAACCTATTACTGTGTATATCACCATTCAAATATGTTTAAGAAACCCAACACAGCTCAGTAAACATTGAGAAATGTTGACTTCATTTGATTGATAAATATGTGATTTGTAAATGCATTTAAAAGATTTGCAAACTCACAAATACATTTGCAAATGTAAAACGGATCTGCAAATACGCTGAATATGTTCACAAATAAAAAAAAGATCTGTGAATATCTCTTTAACATTGACAACTTTCGATCAGGCATTTGTGAATCCATGTTGTATTTTTCAACCAAAAATGCGCTTGCGGATCTCAAATCTCTGCTTGTGGATCGTCTTTTTACACACACAGAGTTTTGAGACATACTTTCCGCCGGTCTCGGCTAAAATCTACTCGTGTCACTCGGTTATTTTCGGAAACCACGTGATGGCCTGCTGATGACGACATTTCCGCATGATTTCAAAGTAAGAGCATGATGGTTTGTTTTTGTATTATAATGAACAGCGGAACGTTAGATGCATTCTTCATCACCATCATCATCATGTTATAGTGATACGGTTAGTTTGGGTTAGTTTATTTGTTCAATACAGCATATATCGAGCACATCCGTATGCATTGATGTTGAAGTAGGCTACTTAGGCTGCGCCACTTTCGGGTCTCGGGGAGCTACAGCTGGCAGCGTAGCAGTCGACATGTAAAGCAGTGGCAACTAGGCCACCATTTCAGCTGACTTTTTCTCAGAAATACTGTCACATAACATCCATATATTTCAGTGCTAGGTTGATGCTTAGCTAAGCTAACTATGAAACACTTTAACTGACAGGACTCAGGATCAACTGTGTACTGTAAGGTAGCTTCTAGCTCCATGTCGAACAGTAAGTCAACATTTCCCAGAGAGCTTTCTTTGAAATCACCAGGTAACGCTAAAAAACATTACATTTAGATTGTATGACAAAGTGTTTATTTAATATATCTGGCTCGCTATAGCTACTTGCTAACGGTTTAGCGTACCCGCGCGATTCAAAGTAACGTTTATGCTTTGCTTACATGTTCGCATAACTTGGAAGTTTACTGACATTTACATACCTTGTTTACCTGACTCAAGTGGTGGCTCTGGGGTTGTTGTGTGACTCCTTAACACCGCAGTGCGTGGTGGAGTCACGAACTTTGCTACCCAACCCCAATGTAAAGTGAATGAGGCTCCTTTGTCGTGGTGCACACACGCATTTCTACAACGTCCAGCAGTGAGCTTTTATTCTATAAAACGTTTTTAAAATCTACTTTATAGCTTGTAGTAACTCACGGGAGGCTTCTTTTATTTTATTTGTATTCATAATAACTTGTATTTTTCGTCAGAATGTATTATGGTGCATTATTCACCAATGTTTGTTCTCAAAAAACAGTGCATTGTGTGAAATACAACTGTGATTTTTATTAAATGAGTTAGTTTTTAAGGAAGGCCAGAGCTTCAGCTGTGTCAAAGAGATTGTTCCCTTTAGTTAACGTTATTTAAATTATTTAACGGTTGCATAAAAAGGTCTAACTGACCCTTTACATAACATCAATAAAAAGCAGTAGCAATGATTATATTAGATAGATAGATAGATAGATAGATAGATAGATAGATAGATAGATAGATAGATAGATAGATAGATAGATAGAGAGAGAGAGAGATAGATAGATAGATTGATAGATAGATAGATAGATAGATGGATAGATAGATGGATAGATAGATAGATAGATAGATAGATGGATAGATAGATAGATAGATAGATAGATAGATAGATAGATAGATAGATAGATAGATAGATAGATGGATAGATAGATAGATAGATAGATAGATGGATAGATAGATAGATAGATAGATAGATAGATAGATAGATAGATAGATAGATTGATAGATAGATGGATGGATAGATAGACAGATGGATAGATAGATAGATAGATAGATGGATAGATAGATAGATAGATAGATAGATGGATAGATAGATGGATAGATAGATGATAGATAGATAGATAGATAGATAGATAGATAGATAGATAGATAGATAGATAGATTGATAGATAGATAGATAGATAGATAGATAGATAGAGATAGATAGATAGATAGATAGATAGATAGATAGATAGATAGGTAGATAGATAGAGAGAGAGAGAGATAGATAGATAGTACTTTATTGATCCCAAATTGGGAAATTGTTGTTGGTACAGCAGCATAAAAGGCATTTTACAATAAAACAAAACTACAAAAATATACAAGAATAGAAATAAAAATAAAATAAAATATAAAAATATAAAATATACATGTCGAAATAGAAAAATATACATATTACAGACTTGGGTATTTGCTTATCATGAAAAGCCTCACCCTGGCCTCATGGAGATGAGCCTCGCTAATCAATGCTGCCATGTGCATCGTGGCCTCATTGGGATCCTCAAAGACCCTCACTTCAGGGTTGAGGGACATGGCATACAAATAATACAAACAATACAGACACAATATACAAACAATACACAAAATGAAGAGAGTGATTGAAAGAGAGACAGTGAGAGAGAGAGAGAGTGGCTCTTAAAAGTGCCGTTGGTTTTATATGTGTGTGTGTGCAACACATTCTCACTCCCAACTCGGTCTATGTTGACGTTATGTCAGGGTCCCTGTCGTCACTTTCCAATGCAAGGGGGGCCCTTTAGCGTCGAGTTTCAACTATCAGGGAGTCCCATTGACTTGCATAGAGCTCCCTGAACGTTGGTAATAGACGAGTTGGGATCTCCGCGTGCGTGTGTGTGTGTGTGTGTGTGTGTGTGTGTGTGCGTGTGTGTGTGTGTGTGTGTGTGTGTGTGTGTGTGTGTGCGTGTGTGTGTGTGTGCGTGTGTGTGGCAATCAGGGTAAATTAGTTCAGTGAGTGAAGCTGCAGACAGAAGACAGAAGTTGTGTTTGATTTATTCATCCCTCTGAGACTGCAGCAGTGATGTCATGTTGACAGTGGAGAGGTCTGAAGTCAAGAACTGGTTAAATCCGAGCGCTCTGATTGGCTGAGAAGCTTTTTGTGCAAATATTTAACATTTGCATTTTGTGACTGTTTGAGAAATGTTGGACATTGTCGGAAAAAAAACACAAATATGTCAAAATTGTTTCAAAGATTTTCAAAAACGACAACATTTTCACATTTTGTAGTTTTTGGGGGTGTTGTCATTTGCTTTGAAGGTAAAAAAATACTTTTGGTACAGCTCTTATTAGTTTGTAAATGTAGGACAGCCTTTTCCCATATCGTCACCAGAGCTTCCTCTGTACAGTGGACACACACACACACACACACACACACACACACACGCACGCACACACACACACACACACACACACACACACACACACACACACGCACACACACACACACACACACACACACACACACACACACACACACACACACACACACACACGCACACACACACACACACACACACACACACACACACACACACACACACACACACACACACACACACACACACACACACACACACACACACACACACACACACACACATCCTCCTTTGCATTGTTTAACTGTCATAACCTTGGTTCCACTTCCCTCTGCAGCGCTGTGTGTGTGTGTGTGTGTGTGTGTGTGTGTGTGTGTGTGTATGTGTGTGTGTGTGTGTGTATGTGTGTGTGTGTGTGTGTGTGTATGTGTGTGTGTCACATGTTCAGACTTGTCTGTTTTCTCCAGCTCAGCTTCACGTACTTAAAGAAAAATAAAGGTATTACCAGCAAACGTGAACTTGATACTAACATTTTATTAAACGACGTTCAGATGGAAAGTGTGTTTGTGTGTGTGTGTGTGTGTGTGTGTGTGTGTGTGTGTGCGTGTGTGTGTGTGTGTGTGTGTGTGTGGTGGTGTGTGTGTGTGTGTGTGTGTGCGTGTGTGTGTGTGTGTGTGTGTGTGTGTGTGTGTGTGTGCGTGTGTGTGTGTGTGTGTGTGTGTGTGTGTGTGTGTGTGTGAGATATTTGCCTGTACATGTAAATATACACATCAACAGGAACTGCTAATATATAGTTCAGCATACTTTCAAGGTCATTATTTGACTAAATGTAAATAAACAAAGGCGAAAAAAACCAACAGCAGCGCAATTCCTGGTGGATTATTTTCTTTATTCATACTTTAGTAAATATAATGTCATGAAAAAGTGAAAAATGTACATCCCAATTTCTCCAGTCCAAGGTGATGTCTTTAAATGTCTTGTTTTTTCTCAAAGATATTCACTTTGATGTGATCTAAAAGAGAGAAAAGCACCAAATATCCATATTTAGGAGGCTGAAAACCGCATTTAAGTGCAGGAGTAAAATACCATTCCTGCTGTGTACTGCACTACTGACTGTAGTAATATAATTGGATCATTATTGGTCAGGAAACCAACGAAGAAGAAGGGAGAGTATTGATCTCTGCCTTCAGTGCTCTCCCCTTACCTTCGTTGTAGCCCAGTACAC